TATAGCCAATCGGGGGTTGAAATCTAGAGTGCATATGCACCCATTGTTGGAGGAGTGTGTGGGAAGGATCGTGTTCCTGAGCTTCAATTTGCAGCAGATCTCTAACATGTCAGAGCGAGCATGCTACTACATTCTCATGCTATGATGTGGACTTTCCTTTTGAATGGCAAATAGGCCGGATCAGAGAAGACTGAATGTTGCCAAATGGGATGGCAGGGGTGGAGTTCCATCATGAGCACCGAGTCTTGTATAAAAGTCTCCCTAAGCATCGTGATCACCTGTACAAATGCATTGGCAGCGACGGTAGGTTGAATAGGATCGTCAAGAATAAGTTCTTTTGCCGCCAGTCGGTCATGTCGTTCGTCGATCGCCGGGAACAACTTCTCGCAGAGGCTGGTAGGTGGGTTAAAGACGGCACGTGCAAGATAAAAGGATCGACCATTGGTGATGAAGCCTGCCATTGATCGCATTATTTTTCTAGGAAGGCTGGTGAGATATGCCCTCCATCGTTGTGTTCTTCCATCGGCCCTGGCGTCGTATTTGATCCGCGTTCGCACACACGTTACCCGCCATACGAGCTGATGAGCCACAATTGATATGTGCTCTTTGTTGGACCTGAAACCAAGAGAAGTGAGGGCCTTGCCGATCGATTCCCGATGAGAAGAGTAAGACCATTCCTGTGCCTGGCGGGGCGGTTTTATCTTCATTTCGAATTGAGTCCCAGCTATGTCCGGGACTCAAGTCAGGGACTCAGAGAGCCCCCTGCCATATCAGTCCTTATTGTCCGCCAAATTCAGCATACACAGATTGGTTCTGTCTCGGTGGTTCTGTCTGTAGCATTCCTCTTTTTCCAAGGTCCTTACTTCAAATGGCGGGGTTGGAAAATTAAAATCAGCTGAACTTTTTCTTAGTAGATCAAATGGAATGCCTTGCTTTTTTTTTATTTGACTCACTTCTCCATCATAGATTCTGTAGCCACTGTACTGCTAAACATAACTACTCGTCTGCATACTCCCCTTTCCCCTATCCCTGACACTTTTTAGGCCGCCATATCCTCTCTCCTCCTTCATTCTCTTGGTCATGACATTAGGTTAGCATTTCAAGTCCCGTAACACATTCGTAGTCTTCCCCTTCCATATAGCTCAAACATAGTTTCATCCAGTCAGTAAAATGTACTTGAAATTATCTCCAAGACCATCGTCTTGATTCCGTAGGCCAAACTTGATCGAGGGAATCGAAATTCCGCTGCTGTTGCTCTGGTTTGACTTGGACTTTGTGTACAATAGGGATTTCACTTTTTGATTGGACCACTTTTCCTTGTAAATCTATCTACACAAGCACCATGCGTTCCTAAAATGCACCAGTTCAAAAACTAAAAAGCTGTTGATGTTTTCAAACCCCGCCATTGAAAAAAAGATGGATCAACCTCTTTGAAAAGTGTCACTTTGTTGGACATGGATTATCTCGTGAAAGAGATAACAAAGCGTACCTCAAATTTTACATGAAGAAAGTAGTGCTTCGTATCTACCGAATGGTGCTAAGGATATTAGATTTGAGTGTATGACATTTTTACTTTGGGGACGCTGGAATCAGTTGCTGTTTAGGGGCTCAATGATGAGTTCAGAGAAGCATACAACACAAGTATACTTCAAATTTGGTATCTTTCGATAGAATGTCCGTTCCATCTTAGTCCATGTGGAATTTGAATATGGGTTATCTATCTCGGTTGCGAAAAGCAGGGCAACTCGTCACAAAATTTACAACTGGAAATCGAAAAATTTCCAAAAATGTCAAAGCCGCCCGCCCACTGTATTTCACGCTTCGCTTTTTCAAACTCTCGTGTGCATGGTAATCGGTCAAACTTGGCGCACCGGTGCAGGGCAAAGTGTTCAATACGATTGGAGCATATTTAAAAGAGTAGAGTCGTGGAGATGGCTTCAAGTAGGTTTTTATTGACTAAATCTGACAATGGTTCAGCTATAGCTAGGACTAGCCATGGAATAACTAATCTAGTGTAATGAGCTACTGAATGAAAGAATGGTGAGCCGGTCAGCTGTACCAAAAGTATCGGTGGTAGAGTGCACACAGACTGGGCCAAAGAATGGGGCGTTTCAAAAGTACAATGGCTACAAAATCTACAATGGAAAAGTGAGTGCATCAAAAGAAAAAAAATTGCAAGGGTTCCCCCCAATCCCTAATCTAAGTGTTTGTACGTCCAGTTTTGGTGACGGAGAGCCGATATCCGTTGCTTTTCCATTCGATCTACAAAGAAAAAAAAGTAACAACGATCCAAAAGGCAAATGTTAGTCATGGTAAGGCGCAGATGGACAAGATGGTGAGAAGGAGAGAGTTACCCTGCGTTCGTCGTTTAAGGTCGTTGAATAGAAAGTGAGTCGTTCGTGATGCGGTGCCAATGATGATGGAAAGAAAAAAAGTCATGAAGAAGCAAAGAAGAAGCAAAGGAAAGTTTGACGGAAAAAGAGATTCTTTAAATAGCTGGTGAGTCGGGATTTAAAATATGGGCTAAATAACCGCCAAGTCCAAACTTTTTTGTTTTCCTCTTTCTTCTTTCTTCTTTCTTCTTCCTCTTAATCATTCATGGCGAAAGGAAAACAAGCGGCTGGGCAAAAAGCAAAAGGTAAATTGAATGAAGATACCTGTAAAGTGAACTTACTCTGTTTCTCTGTGATCCTCTTCGTAAAAGGTGGCGATGAAAAGAAGGACAGTGGCAAACTGAAAACTGCCACCAGTGTCAAGGTAAAACAGGCATTGTGAAAGACATACCCATTCACATTACTCTTCCCTCCTATAGGTTCGACATATCTTGTGTGAAAAGCATGGAAAGGTAATCAGGGACAACGAATGCGCAACAGTTGGAAGGCCACGAGGTATTTAGTTTTCTAATCGCTTAGGTGATGGAAGCTATGGCTAAAATCAAAGAGGAAAACATGCGTTTCGACAAGGTATGATACGAATCTGAATAGGGGAAACAGCTGCGATGATTAACACTTCTCTATAGGTGGCCGAGCAATACAGTGAAGATAAGGCAAAAGCAGGCGGTAAGAAAAGCAGAACGATTATTTGAATAAGGCACTGAACCTTGATTATGTTAGGCTCTCTCGGGTGGATGAATCGTGGTGGAATGGTCGGTGCCTTCCAAGATGCAGGTAAGGGGGAAAACAACATTGAAGACCACTTGCTGACATGCCACTGAATACGATCAACACTATTCTGATCTGATACTATCATTTATAGCCTTTGCATTACAACCAAGCTCATGTGGTAAGTATAAAATGGAAGGATCGGATACACCATATGCTCAAGTACTGGTTTTCTCTTTCTTGTTCTAGACAAGCCTATAATGACCGATCCACCTGTAAGTCAGAAAAGGTGATGCAATTCCCTGTTAGGCTATCACTAATGTATTCTTCCGTACATGTATAGGTCAAGACAAAGTTTGGCTACCATATCATAATGGTGGTAAGTGATTCGGGGTGGAAAAGGATGGGCTCGGATGAATTTCTTGCATGAATCAAGCTGAACCCTTCATTTTGATACCATAGGAGGACCGAAAGTAGTTTAATTTGTTGACTAGTGGTGTTATATTAGTGCCAATTTGCTTAATAAAGAACCCTTACGTACTTTTCTTATTCGATTTGTCAATTTGTAATGTTAATGCGGATGCAATGTGGTTTCACGGATCACGTGACTTGGTCACGTGACCAAATGCGTTATATATAGGACTAAAATAAAATTTTCAGCGTTGCGCAAATAGTTTAAGGGTAGAATATTAGCCTTCCAAGCTGATGGCCAGGGTTCGAGTCCCTGTTTGCGCATTTTTGCTCTTGTCGGTCTTCACTTGTCGGTCTTCACTTTTGGTTTGGAACTCCGCTTTCGATTATCTTCTGGATCCTTCTCACCCTTTCTCTTTCTTCTCTCTTTTGCTTCCTCGATCCTTCTCATTCTAG